GTGTGTGTGTGTGTGTGTGTGTGTGTGTGTGTGTGTGTGTGTGTGTGTGTACGTGTACCAGGAGGCTTCTGAACTGTGAATTTGGGGACAAGAACTGTGTCCTTAGCACTCACAACAGTGACTGATCCATAGCAAGTATTTAATGGTAATTAAGTTGACTCGAATTACTGGTTTTTTTTTTTAATAAAAGACTTAATCTTCAGAAAAATGATTGATGAGTCATCCTTATTTTTTCTCTTTGCTGGAGAGAAGGCAGTGGACGTGTTCCCATTTAATGCACACGTTGCCTAGAGATGAAGAACGCCTTCTTACTTGCCTCCATACCTTGTGGCACAGAACTCCCTAAAATTAGCAAGTGGAGAGTGACTGAGGAGAGGAGCTGCTGGGACCAGGGCTTTGTAGCTTAGTCTCCAGGAATCACCTAGCAGTTAACTGCGCCAGCTTCGTCTTCCCGGACACACGTACAGCGAGGGGAAAAGAAAGAACTAACTGTACTGGCTCAGCTGCAACTCTGCATCTGTGAACGTCCCCATTAACTCCAAACCAGAGCAGCCAGCGACCTTCGTTGCCACGCCTCTTTTTCTGTGTTAGGAAACTGGGAAGCCTAATGCGCTCACTCGGCATCTTTCTTCATGTCCTTTGTGTTTGTTTGCACCTGGGCCTGAGGAGCTCTGGGCTTTTCCTTCATTCTCTTCTGCATTTCCTTTTGTCATTCTAACAGCCATATCCCTGTAATGTCATTACCTGGAAAAGGTCAGGAGACTTAGTGGCAGACCGTCTGTAATGGGAGGTGAGGTAATGGCCGTGCCCCGGACGACGCTGAAACGAAACTGGTTTGATGGAGGTCTGCTGGCTGGCATGGCACACCACCTATCTGTCTTCCTCCCCAGATCCTGGTCTATAGCCTGGAAGCGGAACGCTGCCTCTCCAAGCTGGGCAACGCGCTTGGCGACTTCACGTGCGTCAACCTCAGGGACAGCCCGCCCCATCTCATGGTCAGCGGCAACATGGACAGGAGGTATGTCTGAGGAACACACAGCCCTTTGCAGCCACAGCAGCTCCTGCCGCGGCCTTGCCACCGGCCTCCACCGCGCTCGCCCCTTTTCCTCTACG